GTCGTGATAATTTGCTGGTGAACATTCTTTTTGAATGCCTTGTGTATGGGCTTTCCGAATGGGTGGCCCAGCGGGCCTCCCTCCTCTTTTACTCTAATTTTATTCAAAATTATAGATGATTATTCATACATATAGATACCAAAATTAATAATTTGTTGTCTGATGGTTATAAAATCTAAAATTTATAATTTTAAACTAATAAATTTTTTTTTATTATTTAATTATACATATTTATATGTATATATAGAAATGACAATTAAAAAAACGTTAATTTCGAGGAAAAGTTCATAATGCCTTGCTTCTTTTAATAAAGTAGTTCTCTTTGTCCCAGCTTCAAATCAAGAAAATCTGGCAAACCTACTTATGTGACATTTATATACGCACATATACTTATAATATTTTCTTATATTACCTACTATACATACAATTAAATACTATATATGTATATACTTACGAATAAATATAATATTAAGAAAACATGAAAATAAATTTAGCCAATGACCGCATTTTTCTTATCATTTCATTATACTTATGTTCTACTATATTCAATAGAGTCCTAAATAAAGTTTTCAAGTTGAAATGACATGAATTGGTTTTCCTTATTATTATTTTTTTAGTTTTGTTCTTTTTGTTATTTTTCTCTCAAATTACAATTAAGTTGTTATTTATGAAATCGAAATTTATACAAAAAACAATTTCTCTTTTCTGATTTTTTTTTTTTTTTTAAATGATTTGAAAATAATGTGGGAGGAAATAATTTTTAATACATTTAGACATACATTTTATGAACACATTATAGGCACATTAAATATTATATATGCTGTAAGTATGTATATGTATATTAGCTATAGATTATACACATAAGCTATATGTACGTATAATGATATATTGCATATGCAAGAATAAGAAAGGACGAAAAATTCATTTAAAATTTTGTTTGTTTTTTTTTAAGATAAACAAAATTGATTTGTTACTGAAAAAATATAAGAAATGATGAGAAAACAGATTTTAAGTAGAACATTGAAAATTTGTCAAAAATCTTGAAAAACAATTTTTTGACTATATTTTAAATTTGATAAAATTACGATAATTTTTAATAGCAGATACAAGTCTTCCTCTTGTTTTTGAAGGTTTTTCTTAGTTATTCTGAATTTCCAACTAAAATTCTTTCAATTTTCTATAACCTACTCCGTTTATTTCTCTAATGAATTGTCTATAAATTAAAAATATATTTTTTGAATTTGAAATGTTGTTTAAAATTTTTTATGTAAATGTACCTTTATATTTCCCCGTATATGTAAAAATAATCCATTTTTTATCATGAGCCCTAACATTTTAATAATTTTTAATTAAGTACTAAAATTATTTAGCTAAATTTTAATTCATGAGTAGCCTTTCTTTATAACATGTAGAATTTTCTTTTTTGAAAAATTATTTAATTTAGAAAAATAAAATTACGATTTTTTTCTAAGTCATGGGTATCGTATTATTTGTAGATAATGTAATATACGCACATTACCTTCGTAAAAACAAAAAAATGGCTACCCATAATCTCAACTATGCATTAGTGAATAATCAATTTTATTAATATTAACAATATCCGATACGTAGACGTTGCTCTTTTTTCTAATTTGAAATTTGTTACATTTTTGTGATATCAAAGAAAGATTATAGCCCTTAAAATTTTTGTTTTTGTTATCCTACTTCGCTCCTGGGGGCAGCATAGGGCTAATACATGATATTGTAAATAACCATGAACCAGTTTCTTACGTCATTGAGTTTAATAGGTAGGTGAGGCGAGCGATAGTCCCTATCCTAATTGCAACAAAAAAAGTAAATGAAACGTAAAATGAATGAAAGACAGAAGGTAGCCTTCGTCAAAGTAAAAATTAGTGAATGATAAAAGGCTATGTCATTAAATTTTTTTTAATGATGACACCAAATATGGAATAACTGAGAGTTTCACAAAAAGGGGGTTTTCGTTTATTCAGTTCTAGAATAGTTCTAGCTTGCAGTACGTTCGAAAATTCACGCTACATACACTGAAAATATAGATCGTTCGAAAATTAATCGCTGTAATAAAATGCGTTCAATATGTAATAAAGAAATGTTAGAAATGTAGTGTAGACCTCTAGTTTAAATTTTGTCGCTGCTACATAAACTTCCATTTTTTTTTTTAAATTTAAAATTCAAAAAAATTTTAATTTTAGTTCTAATGTAGAACTTTCAGCGCAGCGTACATAAACGAAAACACCGAAATATTAACTATAAGGTCAATAATAACAGACCCCACAATAATCAATGTTACAAAAAAGAAGCTATATAAGAAGTTACTAAATTAAAAATATAATTTAACTCCCAAGTAGGACATAATCATAATTGCATGAATCTTAATTTTCACAGACATTCATAATTTTCGTTAATTAAAAATGTCAATTAAAAGAATTTTCTAATAAAACACCTTCAATTTCATTCTTTAAAATAACTAGAAAAAATTAAAGATTTTGTTCGGATGATCAAATATTCTCAAACGTATTTATTATATTTTATATTTCGATTTACTTTAACATCTCATTAAAATCCCAATCTTATTCTTGCAAATTTTTTCCTTACAGCATGTATGAAAAATTAAAAATGCAATTAACAAGAATCAGGTCATATCTTAAATTACATTATGTACACAGTACACACATTAATTCTCAAAAGGCATAATGCTTCTTTAAAGTAATAAGTAAATAACATATGTTTTGAACATAGAAAATATTAAACATAGTTATATACATTTTCAATTAAATATATGTGTTTGTAATAACGGTGTCTAATATGCATATAAACGTAATCATGGTATACAAAAAGAAGTGTTGCATCAAACCTGGTGCTACTTTTATTCTGTAAGTTTATGAATAACTTTGAAAATACAATTTGCTCTAATTTCTGTACGATATTATATTATATGGTTATACGACAGTAGTACTGAACTTCTGAAAATATTGCAGTCACAAAATCAATACCTTAGCTCTACGATGAATTTCCTAGAATGCAGATTTAGTTTTAAAAAAACAATTTTTCTGCAACACGTAAAGTTTTAAAACCTTATAGCCCTTTATTAAAAATTAATTTTCCAAAAAAAAAATACCCTTTCATAGGATAAGTATATTTGATTTCCAATTAAATCTGATTGCCCTTTAGTGTTTATTCTAAAATATTGTGCTTACAAATATATTTTTTGTATAAACAAAATGTTAATTATTGGAGGAAATAATTAACATTTCGTTATATGTAGATAAAGCAGGACTTAAATTAAATAAATTAATAATATATATTGGAAAAATTTTAAATATTTTATTTAACTCATATTCAACTTTTTATAAATATGTTAGTACATATATATATATGTATATTATTTATGTAAATATCTCTTAAAATTCTATTATGTCAATTTAATTTATTACTATTTTCATAATAATATTAATTTAAACTTATCTATATTATCTAAATTTTCAAGATATGCACATATTTACAATTTTTAAATTTATTTATTTAGTTAACAGATAAAATCAAAATTTATAGTAAAAATAATAGAAAATACACTATTAAAAAGTAAGATGTTTTTTGTAAATTTTTATTTTTAAGAAAATATTCTTATATTTTTAAGAAATATAAGAATAAATTTATTTATAATCTCAAATTTTTATTGATTAACTCAGCTTTCAAAAGAATCGTTGTCTGAAAACATATATTGTTTATAAAAACTTTTTTATTTCTATTCCACAAATTTTAAAAAATTTTAAATAAATTTAAATGAAAATATTGTACTAAAGGTTTTTCTGTTTTCTTAATTTATTCTTTATTTGGATATTAATTTCTTTTGGTAAGAGAATCAATTTTTGCTTCAAAAGAATTGTTTTTTTTTTCAAACTTTATAATATACAATTTCGTTTTAAATAAAAATTTATAATTACATAATAATAACAATATTAGTCTTAAATTACTTTTATCTTAAAAATTTTTCATTCACATAAAAATTAAAAATAATATGAGAAAGCTTTGTCACAACCATTTTGAGATGATTTCAGTTAATTTATAATTATTTAATTATTTAATTTTAAATAAATTAGAAAAAATGTTCAATTTAGAAATCTTTCTTTAGAAATTATTTGGAATTCACAGAAATATTTTATTTTTTAACAATAGAAGGTGTTTTTTATAAAATTCGTATTTTAAGATATTTCAATTTCTTACTTTAAAATAAAATCAAATAATTTTTCTTAAATAATCATTACAAACATATATATTATTTAATATTGGTAAAAAATAAACAATATATATTTTCATACAATTTAAAATTCGAATTTTATTAAAATGATTTTTTAAAACAAGAAGAAAAAATTACATTTTTTAATATTCTTCATTCAGTTCAAAATTATTTTGAGCAATTTCATTTAAAATACAAATTTCTAAATCATAAATCAGTTAAACTCTTATAATAATATTATACTTGCATGTTATAGTATATAATGATATGGCAAAATGTTACTGATATGAACGTTTTTTCTTATTGTAAAACTGAATATGGCCATTATATATTTATTAAACATATTCATTAATTTCATATTTTATTTCTAAGTACGTATGTTCAATTTCTAGATATTTAAAAAAATTTTATAACGAGCAAAATATGCGAAAAAAACAATATATTACATATACTATATATAATTATAAGTTTTAATATATAATTTTAATCAAAATACACACTAAAAATTATTGCTTAAACTACATTTTTAATATATTTATATATACATTTCTTAATAAAGTATATATAACTCTTATAATATGAAACAAAATTCATTTAAAATTCGTCAATTCATTTCTTTTGCATTTAATTCATTCTTATCAATTCAATTTGTTAATTTTAATAATAATTAAATTTTTATAACAAAAAAATTAAATTGAAAAATTATGAATTCAATATTAAATTATTTTTTTTTTTTTTTTATTAATTTCCTAAATTATCTAACTACTATAAAAACGCACAACTTAAAATTAATACTAAAACTGCAATTGGGAATATAACATATACGGAAGACCTTGGATGACAAGTAGAATATAAATATGTAATATCATCTTCATCATGTTCAATTCCATCTCTTGTTGGTACTTCAACAACAACATATTCATCGCTATAAAAATTTAAATTAAATGTACAATTCGTAGTATTAATACAATTTTGTGAAGCTAAATCACTTGATATGTTTGAATATAAGAATGTTGGCTTAAAAATGTCAAATATTGCATGAATATCATTTCGAACCAAATCATTATCACTATAAAAAATATAATAATAATAGCCATCTTCAGTTACTTCATGACTTGTTATCATATGTGAAACATTTGGCATTGTCGCTAAATAATGAACATTTGTACACATTTGTGATGGTGGAAAACCTTCAGCAACCAAAATTTTCCCATCATAACATGTCAATAAGCTATTTTCAAAACTTGATATTGAATTAGATTCTTGTTTTTCAGTAAAATTTAAAGCATTTCCGCCATGTGATATTTTTCTATCATAGACATGCTCACGTTTCGTTCTATGTGAAATTTTACCATATAATTCATGATAAATTTTCTTTTTTTTATCTTCACGTTCTTTTTTCCGTCTTAAATATTCATTTTCCATGTCACTATTGGTCATTTTATTTGTATCATGCTTTGACATATGATGTCGACGGCGTCTTCTTCGTACATTTGACTCATCTAAAAATAATTTCAAATTAAATTAAAATTCAAAATATAAAAAAATAGAAATAAGTACCAACCCTTTTCTTTTTTATTATTATTTTCCCCATCCTTTTTGTTTAATGGTGATTCAATATTACTACTATAATGTTTTATTGGTTTTGTACGTGTCGCATATTCTTTTTCAAAATCAATTCTGGTCCGTTTCGGTTCCAGTGCTGGAAAATTAATATTATGTAACGTGTGTTTTTTATTAGCTTCTTTATCATTTTCATTTGCCTCTAATCCAGTTTCATTCAAAATTTCCACATTGCTTTTTGTGGTCGTATTAAAAATTAAATTAATATTTTTACCATTATTTAGTAATTCAGTCTTATTTATTTGATTTGGATATTTTCTTTTAATCTTTGGCATTATAGTACTAGTATCTAATAAGTGACTCTCTTTTTCATTAATCTCTGAAAGATCTTCACCTCCATTATTTTCTAATTCTTCTTCAGTTAAATTTTCTTTATGTGGATGATTCATAATAATATTCAAATTGAATACATCACCGGTTTCATGTTTAACAGTTTTATTTCTATGTTCTTTTGACATATTAAATTCTTCTTTGTCTTCAAAAATAACTTTTACTTTGTCATGACCTTCCGCGAAATTTGTTCCTACTTTATTTTTATTATGTTCTAAAAGGCCACAAGTTTGTAAATTACGTTCACCTTTTACAACCAAAATTCTGGAACCATCATATCTCGAACAAAATTTCAATTCAACTTTAGCGCCTTTCAACAAATAGAATCCCCAGTATTCTAAAGTATCATCTGGCAAAACCATTGATTTCTTTAAACGTATATGTTTTCGATTTGTAGAAATTTCTGGTTTATTAGAAAGTTGAAAAGCATTAAAATTACTATCCATATGTAAAGTATGCTTTTGACAAAAAATTGAAGATATTCCATCACGTATTTCAATTATATCGGATTCAGCCACCTAAAAAAAAAAGAATGAAATATAAGTGGGTAAAATTTTAAAAATTAAAATAATAAAAAAATATTGTAATAAAATAATGATTTTTGAAAGGAATTTTCACTTACAGGATAAACAACATCTGCAAAAATACTGTGCCGCAAATACAAAGGAATTATGATGAGCGTTGATGGTATCAATACTATTAGAATGCAGAAAACGATTACGCGCTTCACTCCATGCATTTTGTGGGTTTCTAAAATTATAAAAATAAAATTCAATTAGATTTATTAAAAAAAATTTCCTTTTAAATTTTATATTTTTACAATTTTTTGTAATGATTGTAATTATTTCTAAATTGTAATTTAGGTAGTTGTTCTTTATCTTTTACCTCAATTCAAGTAGTTAGATTACAAACATATTTAATATATGTAAGTGAATTAAAAAAACGAGTTATACATTTAAGGTCAGTACTGTAAGCAATTATAAAATTGAATTTCTTAAAAACTGTTTCAATTATTTCTTGTTGTAGGGTACGTGGAAATTTTAAATTAATTTGAAAAATTAATATTTAAAAAAATTATAACCAAATTTTTGTGAATCATAAACACGGCGTGAATTACACACCAACTGTACAATTAATTCTCAATTTTTATTTATGCACATACATGAGTCATGACCTTCGTAGCATTTAGGATAGGTAAATGTTTTTCACATTTTCAATATCCGACACTAAAATATTATTGTTATTGGTAATTTTAATAAAATTTTGAATTAAAATTAAATTTATATTTTGTCTACTTTTAAATTGTTTCATTCTGAAAGCCCAGTCGTATAATAATTAATATGTAAATAAAAATAAGTTGACCGATATTTTTGTTTTCTTTATTTATGCGATAAAATTCACAATAGATAATTTTATTTGTGGTAAATAGATTATTTAAAGCTTAGACTTTTAAAGTCTACTTGTTATTATAAATTTTTTTTTATTGATAATAATCTTTTAGTATAGCTTGTATTTATTACACAATATTGTTGTTTAAACAAAGATTAAGGAAAATACGTTCTCTTTTTTCTATTCTTTATTTAGATCAAAGCGATTTTTATGCCTTTGTGTCTATTAAAACTTGACAATATTCATTAAAAATTAAGAAATAAATTCTCCAACATTGTCTAATGACGTTTTCTCTTTCTTTTTTTTTCATTGTATATTCTCATTCAATTGTCATTTCTTTAAGAATTGAACATGATAATTTTAAAAAAGCTCAATTCTTTTTTAAAATAAGATTTGAAATTGAAAATTAATTGAAAATTATTTAAAATTGTTACTGTTAAATAAATTATAATTAACAAGATTATTAGGCCATTGCACGGCCGGAAAACACGGCGTTCTCTTGAACGAAAAACACAATAATGTTAACTGAGAATTTAAATGAGAACGAAAATTAACTTTTGAAATAGTTTTCTCATTCTTCTCATTCTTCTGTGTAGAAAAATGTATTATGTTATTTTGAATCAAGAAGGAGAAATGAATTGGTCTAAAATATTATATGAAAATATGCCCGTTTCTAAATTACTGTTATAATACACTAAACTCGATTAGTTACTGTCGATTAATAATACTTTTTAAAAAATATTATTTACGTTAGAGTTATAAATCACACTTTCCCCGTTTATATGGCAATTTCAAGTGACCGAAATTCAATATAGGTAAACGAAATTTTTGCGCTTTCAAGCAAACTGAAATATGCAGTTTCAAGTCGACTTCAAGCAGATTTCAAGCCAAAATAAACGCTTCTCAAATTAAAATTTTCAAGCCAAATATTCGATGAAACTATTAGCTTGATTTCAAAATCAACTTTATATACGCGGATAGAAAAAATGAAAATGACACATTAATATAATAGCGTTTGTCAATTAATGTCAAACTCAGGTTGATTTCAAATATGTAATATTATTTTAATCTGTACAGTAATATCATCGACATTATTAGATCGTAAATTCAGAAAAACGCATTTAAAAATATATAAAATAATATCAATTTGCTGATACGTGTAAAATTTACGTTATTTCTCCGAAAATATTAACGTTAGAACTACGTAGATTTTTTTATACAGATAGTTGAGAAAATACTGAACTTTTCTGTATATATAACTCAAAACTCTCAATCGAGCACTTTCGTGACTCTTTCATAATACCGACCACATACACTGATTGATATTTCAAGCCAAGTATTCGAGCCGCCATATAAACGAAGTCTGTAATTTTAAAAACGCAGCTTGAGTTTCGAGCTGATTTCAAGTTTAAGTACTCAAGTTGCCATATAAATGAGATAAAATTTTCATTTCATAAAACAAATAAATTAACAAAATTAAACAAATTACAGATTAAATTAATATAAAATTTGCCGGTAACATAAAATATTTTTACTCTTTCCTTTGTTTTAAAAAATTATTGATTTAAAGAAAAAAATATCTACAAAATTTAAAAGATTTTTTACAATCGAACTAACAACACACAACACTACATACTAGTACCTATTATATTCAAGTATGTATTTTTAAAAAGTTTAAATCAGGACATTAATAAAACATGATTCACATATGAAAGCTATAAATATAATGTTATATAAGTGTATAACAGATTTACAAGCATATATTTAAAAATGCTTTGTTTTCATCTCTTTACATACACACAGTCATCATTTTAATTTTTCTTTTATAAATCTTTCTTTATTAAAAAAAAAAAAATTTAAAATCTTTATAATTATAAATAGAAGTTATATACTTGTAATGCACAAAAATTTTGTTTATATTTGATTTTTCCATTTTCTCTAGATATACTTATATTATGTATATATAATATACATGTATGTATGTATATTCACTTTAAGCTTTATCTATTAAATACAAAATTTTTAAATGGAATTTCACAGAGAATATGCAATATGATAACTATGTATTTATGTAAATAAAATATCACTTTATTCGATAAAATAATTAAGTAAAAAATAAATATTAAAAATAAGGCATATATGTATATACTTCTCCCATCAATAGATGAATATAATTTATCCGTTAACATTTTATAATATATTCGCCTAACATTTCAATATTAACACTAATAATAGTTATTTTAAACTAAAAAACAAAAAGGGTTGAAGTAATTGAACTTAATAAAGGTAACTAACTGTACAATTCAATGTTATACACAGCGTGATTCAGTTTCCAGTGGCATTGAATATAGCATCATTTAAGGCATCAAAAATGATTAAAATTTTTATTCAAAACTAGTTGTCGAATCTCAACGGTTTCGGAAATATAGGGGTTGAATTAAAATAAAAAATAGTGATCTTTTTTTGAGTTCCTATAAATTTTACTGGGGCTTTAAAATCTTGACATAGAAATGGTTTTTGTGTTATATCATTTGTACCGTAAAATATTTTTTGACATTTAGTGAGTTAAATTAAATTTTAAGAAAGTGGGCCGAATTCTGCAACAAAAAAATTCGTACGAAATTATCGGATTGAAAAAAATCAAGTAATATGTTGCTTTCAAGCCTTGTACTATAGGTCTTTCAAAAACTGTTTATTTGAAGCTTCTATCTTTTTCGGAAGGGAAATTATAAGCAAAAAAATTTTAGCAAGAAGATTTTTTGAAAATTCTTTAAAACCCCTCCTGTATCTCGGAAACCATTGAGATTTAACACCTAGTTTCTGAATAAAAATTGTAATCATTTTTGATGCCGTAAATATCATTGGTATATTTATGTCACTAATTATACTGAATCACCTTGTATATACTATAAAATTATTTAAAAAAAAAGTTTTAGATAATTAAAATGTGAGAAAATAAAAAGATAACAAAATTTACGAAATAAAAATCTCTATAATAACTTTTAATATTTATTTGTGTTTTTTTTTTCACACAAAAATATAAAAAATTAGATTAAGTGCTTACTTACTTTGTTATCTTAATTTTTTTTTTATAATATTTCAACTACTTAAATTATGATCAGTCTCTATCACTATAAGTAATACATTTTATGATTATTAGGAGCGAAGGATTTTAACTGATTAAAAATGTACTAATTAAAATAATTATTATTAAAATTAACACAAAAAAATTTTTTAGCTCTAGTAAATTCATACATTAGAAACAAGAAGATTAGAAATTTCATAGAGAAATTTTTAAGTAACAGAACAACAGAAATTCATACAACATACATTCTTTTTAATATCAATAAAATTATAGTATAAAATAATAGAGCATGAGTAATATTAAATCGGCTAACTCCAAAATTCATTGAATTAGAAAATCAAGCGTTTTTTTATACTTATATAAATTATAAATTTTGTATAAGAATTTCAGATGGTGTTATTTATTTAACTTTATTTTTAAAAATTCTTAAAAAATTACGGATCTAATCGTCTTTCTCGCTTTTTTATTCGGCAAGTGAAAAGAAAGTGAGTAACTCATTATATTGCACTCATCTATTTGTGCAATATGATTTTCGAGTGAAAAAACGTAGGTACATATACAAAATTTTTTCACTTTGTTTTTAAAATTGAGTGAGGAGACGCTCAATCGATAATTTGAGAAAAAAATGCAATAATCCAATTGAAAAAATGAGTATTCTTATTGGAAAAATGAAATATCCATTAGAAAATACTGCGAATTTTGATATGAAAGTAAATAAAAAGTGAGTAGTACACGATTAGGCTGTAATATTTAATAGTGTCATTCTATATATATCACTATATATATCATGTACTATATATATCACTATATATGTCACTCTATATATCATAGGCATGATTTTGAATTGCACTCTTTTTATTCACCGAGCGAGAAAATAATTAACAATTTTTTATAAAGTAATATAATTTTAAAGTAATTTGTAATGACAATATTGTTTTTCTGAAATATATAAGAATATTGTTATTGTTAAAATATACAAAATCCCATTTCGGTTATCCAAAATTTTATGTCAAATTTTAATGTCAAATTTTATCAGAAATATTAAGAACAAAACGTGAAGATCCAATTGAAATAATGAATAATATTTATAATAACTATTTGAAAATTGATATATTTTGACCAAAAATTCCGATTTTCAATAATTGTAATCAATATTTTTAATTTAATTACTTACGTTTCAACTAAATTTTTCTCATTTTTCCCCCCCATATATTAAAATAAAAATTTTAAAATATCGAATAAATTTATATATTTCTAAAATAGAATGATTTCAATTGTGCTTAATTTTAAAAAATTTATTTTTTAGAAAAAAGCAAAATCTGTTATACAAAAAAAATTATCAATTTAAAATTACATTATGCGAAAAAGTACAAGGCTCTCTGTCTCCGTCTCTGTCTCCATCACCGTCTTTAATTTCAAGGTAAATTTAAACCAGTAAAATACAGACCACTAGATGGCTACAACTCAAATTAGTTATTATAAAGTTATTCATCACATATTTACCTACATTCTATACGTATATAAAAAAAACAAAATTAAAATTCAGAATTTTAAGTAAAAAAAAAAGTCACTTGTAAACACGCTGTAATTATTTACTAACTAAATTAAATAACAATGTGTGCATGTGTGTAGGGCAAAATCACAAGAAAACAACACACAAAAAATAAACACAAACAAAACTTTCTGATTGAATTTTATTGTAAAAATTATTTTTATGACAAAAAAATTTTAAGGCATACCTAATTAAATTCAAAAAATTAAATACATAAAATAAAATTTTAAATGACATGAGGAGTGTGATAATAGAAAAACATAACACTTTGAGGTCAAATAACATTTTATAATAATAAAAAAAAAAAATAAAATAAAATATTAAAGAAAAACACTTGTTTTCTCATTAAAAAAAATTAAATGCTGCAATACTTACATATTATTCATACATACAAAGAAATTTGAATTTAAGTAATTAAATAATTTTAAATTTCTACTAATATTAAATAATATTATAATATTTTCGTTATTACAAAGGTGATTTGTTTATGTAAAATATAAAGATTTATTTGAATTAATAAAGCATTTAATAACACGCGACACATTGTCTAACCTCTATACCTACACAATATCATTATGAGCTGCTTACTTACATTTATACTTGGCTACTTATTTAATTTAAAACTGGTTTGCAAATTAAAGTTTATTTAAAAAAAAAACAAAAAAACATGTTTTTCTATAATATTTTATGTAAAAAATTATGCTAAATAAATGCAATAAATTTTAAATAATTCTCACTTTTTATATGACCTTACTATAAGCTGGCGCAATTGTTACATGCATATATACAAGTTTGTATACAAGTATTTATTATTATATAATAATAATCATCACAATAATCGTGAAATATTTTAAAATATTAAATTTAAATCTTTATACTTATAAGGCAGTGATTTTTTTAAAAGTTCATCTCTTAATCATATAATTTGTATTTATGTAAGCATAAAATCTTTGTTTTCGTTAAAAAATCTATTCCTATTTAGATTAGAATTTTATACATATAAATTATATACAAAAATTTGACAATAAGAAAATACGGAATAATGAATTAAACGTAATAAGTAGAAAGAAACCCTACATCTTCATTATTAACACTAGGTATGGAAATTAGGCAGATACCTACAATTTAAAAAAATAAATTAAGTACAGTAATTATGTTAGATTACATTTTGTTTTCTTAAATAGAAAATTATTACGTATATTGAACGTAAGTAAAAAAAAATATATATATTTAGAATTTTAAATAGTTGGGTAAGTATTTCTTATTTATAAATGATTGTCCATTGAATTTGAAACATTATCGGTACTGAGATTTAGTTAAATAATTATTTAGAATTTCCAAACTAAAGAATGATATAAGTACCTTAACTATATCCAGATGTTAATTTAACAGATGACGAATAACCTTGTTACCAATTTATTTTCTCAATATAGGTATTAATTTACAATTTAATTTCCTCTTCAAGTATTACTTCCCCGATTCACTTAATGGGCAGGTTTAGTTTAGGTGCCTATTACCCATTTTTGCATTTTTCAAATCAGTCTCACTTATTTCCAGTTCAATGTTAAATCTATTTCACGATTTAACCTAATCGTATTTAACTAAGCGGATATTAGACTAAACTATATATCAAGTTCCGAATTAAATAATCAAGTAAATTAATTATTAAAATTTAATCAATTTATAACAAAATTTACAATTTTTGGTAGTGAATAGGTAAAGCTACCTGCTTAGTTAGGTACCGTTCTTTTTCAAATTATAGCACATTTTTATATTTACAATTTTTCACATTATAATATAGATTGGGGCTAACCGGCGCCCCCGTTTTCAAGTTTTTAAAACAAATTTTTAAACATAATACTGAATAAGTTACAAAAAATATTTATTTTGTATAAAATATGTAAGCTGAAAATTTTTTTTATAAAAGAGATTTGGAACAATAGATTTTGCCGCAATAAAGGTAAACAAAATTTTACTTGGTTTCAAAAGAATTTTTTTGGTAAAATAATGTAGGTAATCAAAAGAAAACAAACAACAAAAAAAGAATAACTAAGCTGTGTTTATTTTAATTTTCAAGGATGCACCTATCTAGTAATACCTATGTATACCGTAACTATAAAAGTTAGTATGTAAGCAATTCATGAATATTTTACAAACAAATTACAAAAGAGCATAACAGCAAAAAAAAAATTCACATTGTTAAAATATTTAACTGACAAAAAAACAATGGAACTAAAACGAAAAAAAAGAAAAAAAATATACATATTACAATGTAAATGTAGGTAAGTATATTTACAGGTAGATAAATATATACATAACGTTATAAATACATACTTATAAGTATTTAACATATAAATTTACATTATACACTTTATTAAAATGTTACCAACTTGTATACATTGTTTTATATTTATGTATATATGTATGTATGTATATGATAATATTCGCATTAAATTTAATGCAAGAGACAAACGACAGAAACAAAAAAAAAATTGAAATAAAAATATTTTTAATTATTGTTCTTGAACTTACATTTTCTCTGATCTGGACAGTTTTCTCAATGGCCAAAACTTTATTAACTCAGCAAAAATCTTATTAATATACTGAAAGCTTACGCCGATTAGCATAATAAAATTTATTTAAAAAAAATATTATGTTTTTTCTTTTATCTTGTTTTTGTTTTAAAAATATTTTAAATACCCCCACAATTTACTTCAAAAATGCATTTAAAAATTATTCAATAACAAATACAACAAAACCCATTACGAATTTAAATTATTTTTTTTTATAATTCAATAATTTCTTAATTTCATTTATATATGAGAAAAAAAAAAAGGATTTTATTTTGTAATTTTATATTGAAATATTTTTTTTTTTTAATAAAAATTTCTTTTCATATCTTTTTTTTTTTATTTTTAAACCGAATGCATCAAAGGCCCTTTCCCTTTTGTTTTGATATTTCCGTAACAAAAAAAAAAAAAAAGATATATCATAATAAAAGGGGTAACAGTATCAACGTTTTTGACAATTACTGTCAAATAAAGTAGAGTGTCAAAAGAAAATTTTGTTAAAAAAATAAGAACAAATAAAATTATGTCGTGCGCGTTCATAAACAATTTCAAAAACACATCTGTATCGTTGAGAATATTATGACGATTCGTAAAGAACGAAATGAACTCGTGTAAAATAATAAGTAATTGAAATTTTAACGAAAATAAAACAAAAATTTTCAATTTAAAGGTAATTTTTATTTGATTTTAAAAAAAATCTCTTTTTGGCAATATTATGTAGATATGTATACACAAACATATTATTCATTCAACAGCAGAATAAATGTGTTGCGTACACTAATAGCGACGATTTTCGAAAGAAATCTGTTCGATTAGAAACAATTCAATTTACATTATTGCATAATAATATAAAGTGTGTATAATGAATTCAGCTTTAGTGAAATATAAATTTTTTTAATTGACAGATACATATAATAGTAAAGCTGTAAAGATTATATGGATTTAAGGAAATACTTCAAGCTGTTACAACAGCAAAACAAATTACGGTTCTATGTATTTACATAAAGGCGTACATTGTAGAGATATAAATTTCCGTACAGAACATCAAAATTTTTTATTTTTTAATTTTCTAATTGTCAAAAAATTGAGAACTTAGACATATTGCTCAACTGCAGTTAAAATTTTGCAGTTTTCAAACTTTAAAACGCTTGCGTCCTGATTTTGGTAAAAAAGCAAAAACGAAACAAGAGCAATTTTAAGCGAACGAAATTATTAGTAATTGCTAAATATAAGCGAAATTACTGCTGCAAATTTAGCCGAAATCGGTAAAATAATCTAAAATCGTATTTTATGGAATTCTTTTTAACATAATCTATTTCCATGTGTGTGAGATATTATACCATAATACTGAACCAGTTTATTTTGCTCCATATTGTTCTGTGTTAACAATTGGAATTATTCGCCGTTTTCGTTCTCTGCTTTGGTTCTGTTTTTTTTTTTCTTAAACTGCATTTACGTTTTTACATGTTTGATAAAGTTGCAAAATTTTGAGTTAAACAAAAATACAAAAAAGTATTGAACCAAACTTGGCAATGAAGTTGACATTAAAAGCAAACGATTTGAATTGATTTAGAGGAAGAGTAGACAAATAAGCTAATTTGATTATGTCAATTTATTTTTGTAATTTTCACAATATGATAAAACAAAAAAAAAATTCCAACGCGAATGAGATATTGAAATTAATTGTCAAACACGACAACGCGTAGCAACATTTTCATTTGATAAAAAATTAAACTTAACGGTAAACTTCTATTATCATACGTATTTAATTGAGAATTAGAATATGTCCAAGGCGATATGCAACCAGAAAATTTTAATTAAAGAATAAAATCTTGAAATTAAATTATTTATTTAGTTCTAAAACTCATAAGTGCACCTTGCTATTATATACGCTAATAAATACAGGTAAGTTTATTTATACCTTAATAATGATCTAATAAAAAGACAATTACTTTGAATTTAGATAAGTTTTATCTAATTATAAAATTAAATTTAAATGTTTGTTAATGAGATTTACATTTTATTATAGAGCAAATTCTACAAATTGTTTTGTAAAATGCAATCTTTACATAATGCAATTTGTATTAAAATTATAATTTATTTAAAATTAACACGATTTACGCTTTTAAATATCAATTTTCCATAATTTAATCACATATTTTAACAAATAAATTAATCAATCTGGTTTTAAATATTTATTCAAATTAAGCTTGAAGTTGTACCATTTACTAACACACTTTTGTTCAAAGATCAATTTTTTTTTTTATTTACTAATATAATATTCTTAATATAACGCAACTAATATATTAATCATAATAACGCTTCATTATAGTCAATTTTAAAACAATTTTCATACATAAATTGATTATTTTATTTGTATTGATTATTTTATTTTTTTTACATATAAACTTTACTTACTATTTAATTGATAAGACGACACATATTTATGTGGTTGATAATGGTAATAGCCAACATTTTCTGTGGTCCTGTTTGTTGATTTAATTAAAAAATCTGATGATTGTGCTGGCATTATTTTTAATGTACTCAACAACTGTTTTATTTTTAATTTTATTTTAAAGTTCTTCCAAAAAAAATTTTTTTTTTATTGTTAGTGCATTGAGAATTCTTTTGAAACTAAAATTTTTTTCTGAGATGAAAAAGAAATTTACAAGACTTAAGAATATTACTAAAACAAAAGTAAATAAACAGAAAATTACATTCTTCTTTTAATTATCTCTATTATCAGTTCTAAGATTAGCTAGGTATATTTAAAAGTTAAAATCAAATAATTTTTGAGTGAATAAACTCGAAACCAAACTACACTATGAAATGAGATAAGAAGGCAATAAAAAAAAGTATGGTAGAATGCAATTATTATTTACTTCTACCTTCAAGAAGATAAAAATTGTATTTTTAGTAAAATGAAAAAATTTGAATGCACTTTTTTGCGAATCAGCGTCGAATAATTACTTGAAAATGATTTATATCACTTAGGTACTTAAAATTAAGTAGCAACATTTGAAAGAATACTAATCCAATCACACCCCAAAAGGACTCTTCAAATAAGCAATTTGAGATAAGTTTTAAAAAATGATTTTTAATAAATTTTTTTACATAATAAAAGAATAAGCTAATTTTGTATAAAATTCTTTTTATGTCTATTTCATTTTTTTCATATGTATTAAGTGCTTCCTCATTTTTTGTTGTTTCTCTTTAAAACTTTTTTTAGCTTTACCTCTTGCTTTATGTCTCATCATCAGATAATTTTTGCGTTTTTGCTTCTCTCTATTTGTTTTTGAACAATTTTCATTTTTACGACCATCCTTGTAACCAAATTCTTTTCGATCGGTTCGACCAGCTTTAACTGTTTCCAAACGTGATTCCTTATCATGCTTTCGTTTTTTATATATCATTTCTATATTCTCTAATTTAACAAAATCAGTTTTATCACTTTCTAAGGGTCTTTTTCGAGAATTTGTTATCGTTTTCTTTATATTAGCAGCATCAATTTTTTTGAAATCTTCGTCTGTAAAAATTTTTGTCAAAGCTATTTCCTGAGCGGCTTCCTTTGTATTTAAGAATTTCATATTTTTTGCTTTTACATCTTCTTGGCTTGATATATCTGTTTTTTCTAAAAGTGAAATATTTACACATTAACTAAAATTTAAAACACTAAATACTGGTACAATACCTGTTTCATTTGGTTCATTCTCATTTTCTTTATTATCTTTAACATTATCATCATTTTCATCGGATCCTTCATCATCAGAATCTTCGCCTTCGACGTCCTCTATATCTGATCCATCTCCTTCACTTTGAGATACATCAACCCAATCATCACCATCACTACCATCTTCCTTTTCCGTTTCACTTTCATCTGTTTTAATATCAATAGTTTTTGATTCTTTTAACAGAGCTTCGGCACCTGGTACTGTATCATGAGCAATTATTTCACCATATTCTTTAATTTTTCTTTCAGCTTGTGCCTCTGTTGGTCGACCTCTATCTTTTTTATGCAATAGTGCTGGTAATTGTTCTCTATATAATACAATTAAAGATCTAGCTGCCATCATTACAGATTTCTCCTTATATTGCTTGTACATAGCTAAATCTCTTAAGAGATCTTCACTCATTGCTAGCGGACATCGAGTACAAATTTCACGAACAGAATTTAAACCTACTGCCATAACATCACTTGAATTTCTCTCTGTAATGAAATTATTTGCTATTGTTTTTAAAATTGGTTCAATAATTTCCCCTGGGACAAGTTCATGAGAAGCTTGTGCAGCAAATTGTAATATTCTGGTTACTAGTCTTTGATGCGGTTGCAAAAATCTTGTAATGTATGGGTAAAATGCAAATACAAATAATTCATGTATCCCAATTAATCTGGAAATAACATCTAAATGCATCATCTTGACTTCAAACCGTTCATTCGTTGAATGTAATTGCTTAAGCAGACCTTCAGCCATACCTTGTGGATTATGAATTAAGTGAATGGCTGAAAAGTTAAAGCTTGGTGCTTTCTTCTTTTTTTTAGAAGCCTTTACGACAGCTCTTTTAACCTGATCAAGTTGCTTTTTTCTCTTTTTCGTCTTTTTGTTAACACGATTTGTCATTATGGCTGATTTAAGATCTATATCAGCATCACTTTCGGAATCTGATTCGTCGATTTCGTGGCCCAGGAAAAATTTCAAGGAAGCTACCAAAACCTTAAATTTAAAAATTTTTTTTGTTAAAATACCATATAGAGCAATAAAAATTTAATTGGAGCTATTAAAAACATTGTTAACCAAAACTAACATACCTTTGTCACTTTAGAAAAGCATCCAACATTAGCTATAACATTTACAGTCTTAGCATCATTCCAAATATTTTTTTTGTATAGTTCAATCATAATATCCACAGACATCTTGGCAGCTTTTGGATTTGAATCCTTTAGCATCGAAAACATGAAGTTCTGCAATGTCTACAAATAGAAAATATTAAGTTAACTCATTTATATTTCCTTGAACGAGATGAATTATTTTATGTTACCGAATTCAATTTCATATCTTTCTGTTTTGCATTCATATTTTTGATATCATTAATTATATGAGTCTCTAAAAATGTTCTTAACTTTTTATCAGGACAACGAAGTAATTGAAAGAACAATTCTAATAAATCTAACGCTGGTAATAAATTTTTGTTTCTTAACAGTATTAGACCCTTTACAAAACAATTTCTCATTGATGGATCTAAATTTGTTGAATGATTTTTAAGTAGATCTACTAAATGTTGAGGAAATTGCATACATTCATTTGGATAACACTGTGCAACCTAAAAATTTTAATAAAAAAATGAAACAACTCTTTAATTACAAAAAAAAAGTAGTATTTACTTGAGCTATGAACATAACCAGCTCGTACAAAGCTTTATTCTCATCACTTGGATTGAGTTGAAATATTTCAAGATTGTTTAGAAAATGTCTGTACTGTTGTTCAAATTCTTCTTTATATGAATCTGGATCACGTTTTATCAGATTCTGCAATTGAGGCAGATTATCCGGTAAATTATTATTATGACGAGACATTTTAGGTCTTTAACAAAAATTGAAATCAAAATATTGAAGAGAAAAACAACCAAAACAAAAAGTCTGACATTTGGTCACGTTGTGAATATTGCGAAAGTGTTGCCATAACTTTTAATTTATTTTTTTTTGGTAGCGCCAAATATTGTTTTAGTGGTCGATTTTTGTACCAGACAAGGTTTTAAGCAGAATAATTCACAATTGATAAAAGTTTTTGTATTTTTTTCAATTTAGCGAATTCAAAATTTGACCGCAAGGACTTAGTGTGTGTGGTAAATATTTCACACAGTGTCACCACAATGGTGAAAAAAATTTTTTTTTCAAAATTACAAAATTTTGAGGTGAATTCAAAAAATACTTTTTTTTCCGCGTGCATTCCGGGAGTTCATTCAAAAACTACGTAAAGTATTAAAAATATTTTATTGTTAGCATCTGAAACCCCGAACGTAAGTTAAAAAAAATTTGAAAATTAGGATTTCTATTGATTTGCAAAACGTTTTTTAAATAAATAAGTTGAGTGAGTTGCTAAAATGCAATTTAATAGTAAAAATATTTATATTTGATTTGTTCCCAAATTTAAAACTTGCGGTGATTGATTAAACGCGTAATTAATTAATAACATTTCACCTTTATTATTTTAGAAGGGGGTCATTCATACCTACGTTATGCCATTCAGAACTTAAAAACTTCCTTTTTTGTTACAAACTAAATATATACCTACTCTTAGTTCCCAGTATGCGAAACCATTAAGAAGATTTTTTGATATTGAAATTTGTGATTTCTCCTGTAATTTTGAGTGTACAAATAAATTTCATACTTTATATTATAAATATAGAGCAAAATATAAATTTTTAAATAAATTAATGTGATTGAAATAGAAAGATAACAATTTAATTTTGATTTTATAATCATTTTTTACTATTTAAAATAACACATTTTTCTTATTTTTTGTCATTTAAGTCAAAAATTGGTGCATATAGGCCGGTTAACAGTACTTTATCTATGTAGTAGGTACTGAACAATTTGGTTGCTAATAAGAAACTAATATTAAGTAAAATAAACATTAAGGAGAGCAACCATTATGAAATTTCTAAAATTAAGAGCAAAAATTTTTAGTAGTTTTTAGTGGCATGTATCAAAAAAATTTTGAATATTAAAAATTATTTTTGCCATTTTTCTTTTGTTTTTTTTGAAAATAAAATTATGCAACATTTTTCAAATAATTATATTTCAATTAATTATCATTAGAACAATTTTATTCTGCACATCTTGGTCCATCATGTCACAAATAATAAATTGTAATTATAGAGCCAAGATCTCTCATTTCGCTCCAAATAGAATTTTACCGATAATGTGTTATGGTTATTATAATCTCCAATATTTTGATTGTAAAATGAGTAAAATGCAAAAAATTATTCGCAATTACATTTTTTGTCTTCATTTGTTGCACAAAATTATTATACTGTATGACAAGTATTATGTTTACCTACAAACATACAGATGTACATATATAATGCAACAGTCCATCTATATAGCAAAAATATTATTGAACAAATAAAATCTAGGTTTTTTTTTGATATTTTAGAATGAAAAATGCCTAAAACCCATCACCTTTTATCTTGTCTCTTTTATATGCTAAAAAAAATCTTAGATTGAAAAATTGTATACGTACGTATACGTACATACATAAAACGATATTTTGATTTGAGTTGGTTTTCAAAATAAATTTTATATGCCATAGAGAACAGAAAGATTTTCATTTTTTATGAGTGCAACTTGAATATTTTCCATGGCACTGGAATGTTTATTTGAATATTAACTATGGATACAATAATGATAATATTGTTTTGGCATACTCCACCAACATTATTCTTATTTCTTTTTATTTTTGGCTATAACCACACAATCATTGATACTCTTGTAATTTTATTTCAATTTAGATGTAAAAAAGTATGAAATTAATGTTGTTTCTCTTTTATAAAGATTGAATTTTTTGTGTACCTTTTTGGTATTTTATTCTTTTATTTCAAAAAAAAAAAACAAAAAACCAAAAACAAAAAAATTTTTTTAAGAAAATGAGAAATCAAGAAGCAAAATCAATAGCTAGTCATTTGTTAGAACAGCATGAAGCACATGCTATCCTGCAGCGATTATTATTGAAAATTGATTCTGTTGCATAAAATACAGTGATTTACGCGATATAAACCTTCATTCTATATACTCAAAAAACAATAACAAGAAAAAATAATAATTTTTTTTTTTAAATACAACTGCATATTTGTTGTGTTCTACAAAATTGTATGTAATGTTGTTATATAAGTCCATCACTTTTGAATTCAACATAAAATTGTAAGTTTTTGAATTTGGTATACTCACAAAGATTTACATACATATATGTATGTACATACTAATATATTTCATTTATATTTAAAATATTGTTCAATATGCATTTTTAATGTCTATGTTCTTATATGTGATTTTTTTTTTCTGTTTTGAAAATAAAAGAGGTTATGTGGACATTGGAGTTCATTGCACTAAAACATTAATTTGATTAATGAAAACAATTTTCAATACATACAACAAAAGTAACAATAGAAATAATAATTGTATATGTATATTATGCAAAGTACCTAATTGAGATAAGTTGTAAATTCTCAAATGAAATTTAAAATAAAATCTACTGTACATACAAAATTAAATTATTACATAAATTTGTGCTATATTCACCAGCTTTGAAAAATAGCCATGCTTCAAATTTATAGTAATGCAAACTTTCAAATAATTTCATAAAATGAGTTGAAACATAATAAAGAGTCTCTCTAAAGAGAGAATTAATTGCATGTTTACTGACAATGACAGTAATACTGTAGTTGTCTATATGAATTGAACAGAGAATGACAGTTGACAAAAAATAAACGTCAACACACATTGTTGAGATTTTTTGTTTTACTTTATAACTGTTTGGATTTATATCCGAACACCTATACAAATTTCAAGTTAATATTTAAGAATATAAGTGCAGTTGACAATTTTTCGTTCCCTAATAATTCATTTTTTTTTCTGCTTTCTTGTTGCATTTCCTTGAAAGTACTTATATATAATACGAAAAAAATTATTCAAATAAATTTTTTTGAATGTTAACGTCTTAAGTATTAAATATTTATAATAGATAAAAATCTTAAAAAATGTTTTTAGTTTATTTAATAAAAATTATTGATTGCATAGTGTAGGAATATTTTTTGTCTATAAATATTGGCAGTATGTAAATAAAATTTGCAAAATTTAAAAAAAACGGATATTTTTGTATTGATATTCGTGATTAATTTGAGTAATATCGGACAAATTTTTAAAGTTGGAAGGGCTGAGGAGCAAGTGAATAGTGTGTAAATGAAAACTTTTTCTCTATTCCTTTTGGAATTAGAAATATGTATTTTATTTAAAAAACTAAATTTGTAATTAATTGACATATCTTGGGATGTTTGAAACTCTGTTTAACAGATTGAAAACTTTTAATTTTCAATTTGTCCCATCTTCTCTCTCACAAAGTCTTTTTCTCTTTCTTTAAGCTTATATGAGTGTGAATTGTGGGATATAAAGTGCAATTTTTAATATTACATGCAGTGTAAATTGGCGTGTTTAATCATAAGTACTACATTGTATAATTAATTGATACATAATTTTTAGGTTCGAAACGATTCGAAATATTTACTATAATTGACAGTTATTCATATTCTCTTTTCTCTTCAATACATCAAAATATTATTCCGTTATATTATGTCTATTTTTTTCTGATTTACAAAAACTCTTATAATTAAAAAATTTTTTGGGTAGTATAGGAGAAATGTAGCACTTCTATATTTATTCTTATTAGGGGAAATTTAGCGTTTGACATTTATTATTGAGCTCTTTTATATTTATTATAGTGAAAATTATAGTTTTATATACTATATATTTTTATATATTATTAATTGTTTTAATTTTACAAATGAAATTTTTAAAACAATTTGTTATTCAATAAAATTTTGAAAATTCTAAATTATTTTTTGCTCATCAAATCATTGCTAATTAAATAATTTATACTTAAATTTTTGCAATATGATAAATAACTTTCATATACAGTCGAGTACACAAAATATTGTTACATGAAATATTTCGGAATTTACCCAGTCAACAAAATTATTTTTCAAATAATATTAAAAAAAGAGCACATACCTATAAACATTTCTGTTCATTTTAAAGGGTAAAAATTAATTGCATGAAAATTTAAAAATATATGTGTGTATTTTTTGTGTTTTAACATAGGTTCTGACATAGCTTTAAGAATAAATAAATTTTCTTTAATGTCATTCGAAATTGTGAAGATTTTAGTCGATTTTTTAATAAATTCTTTACTAAATTTACTAAATGCCGTAAGTTGTGAGTCTTGTGTGCGTGTAAGTATACAATTTATTGCAGTTTAAGGAACTACTAAAATTAATCATTTAAAATTATGCCGGAATTTAATGGAATATCTGAAAATTTTCATCAATAAATCCGATTTTTGTCTGTTCATATAGAAAATTTAATTTTATAAATGAAATTTAAAAATAATATCGCCATGACATTAAAATGATGTAATTAATAAATGAGTTTAAAATTTGCATGCTATAAGCTTATCGAATTTCGACTGTTTTTGTTATAACAAAGTGTTAAAAAATCATTGTTAAATCTCATAAATTAAAAATTTTATGCAAATATTAAATGAAATAAAAAGACAATAAAATACAAAAAAAACCACTAAAAGCACACATACTCTTAATCCATTTAATTATCTGGTTATCTTTTATTTTCAAATAAGTATATGGTAGCTATATATAGAGAAAAATAAATTTCAGTATTAAAGAAAAATTGGAAGAACCAAACAATAATTGGATATGCATAATATATATAAGGAAACCAAAACCTATATATGTATATAGAAATTATTTGATTTAAATAAATTTTCGATTATTGCTTTTAAACTTCAACATCATGCCCTTCAATTCTAATATATAATTGAAAATTTAACAACACTCACGT